ACACGGCACAAGTCGTGGCAGCAGGATTTGCCTTGCATGCTAGCTATAACATGCAATACGAGAGGGATTCGACCTCCTTTGCCCTCCCCTCCCCCCCCCCCCCCCAACGGTCTTTGCATGCCACCAACTACCAGAGTTCCTGCTCCTGTTCCGAGCTATGGAGTGTAGCAGGAGGGCCCGGCCAAGCCTTTCTGTTGAAGGTCTGTCGGAGAAGTCTCTCACTGTCTCATGCCAAGCTTCGCACACCCCGCGCTCCCAGAGCAGTCAGCACGGCATCAAGGTCGAGATGGTCGTCGACCTCGTGGCACCAAATTCAAGATGTGAGACAGACCCCCCCCCCCCCAACAAAAAGACATGGAGACACGGACGAGGCAGCCTACACTCCCTAACACGCCTTTTCCAGGGACCGGCCTGTAAGGGAGACCTGAACTGGCCTTGCCGGCTAGCCGGTGTCAGGCTGAGGCCTTGGCCAAGGGAACCTCGCAGAAGTCCACGCCGCAGGAACGCCACCTCGCCGTCCCCATTGCGCGTGTCCGCGTGTCCCCGGCCCCCCGCGGAGAGGAACGCGGACTCCTACGGCGCGGCACTCCGCTTTTTCTCTTCTGACTTCTGCTTCTGACCCTGATCCTCTTCCTTGGCAAATCTTGGCAAGGTCTAATTACGACAATCAATTGCGCAACGGCGTGCCCTCGTTTACAATCTTTGTGTCGGATGGAAAAACTCATCCAACCCATCACCCCAATGACCAAGCACCATCGGAGGAGATAGAACGAAACACTCCCTCGCGCTACAGCTCTGCCCGCAAATCAAAGAAGGCGGAGGGCTTCTTCCGCTGCAGGTGGAGCGTCTCAATTGCATTTGCCAGTCTCAGAAGAACCGCTTCTTCCCAGTGGGCACCCATCCTGAACGAATGCGAAGCAGTGTCAACCCTTGCCCACGTACAACCACGTTGCACTGTCTACCACTCACAAAGTTCGTGGAAATTGGATTTGCCAAGTTGCAAATGCATGCTAACAGGGAGCTTTGTGTTGTCATCGTAGCCCACCGGCACGCTGATGCCTGGAAGCCCCAGGAGATTTCCAAGGAAGATGTACTTCATCATCCTTGGCACTCACTGAAGAACTCAAGGTCTGCTGACAAGTCCCTATGCCCAGAACTGCCCAGCCTGCCCATTTCCGTCGCACCAAAAGGTTAGGGCAAAATTGCCAAGCATCTGCATGATCAGGGGCGTGTTGCTCTCACCAGCGGCTGTGACATCTTCAGGCATCTTGGGAGGAAGGATGCCCATGCTTGGCGACACGATCGCCTGGACGTTCAGCTTGGTGAAAAGCTCCTCGTGCATGTACTTCAACGCCCAGCCTCTTAAGATGTTGGCAGAGTTGAACTCCACCCCAGAAACTGTGTAGCCAAGACCAAGCTGAATTCGAGTCCCGGGCTCCAGGTTGTGGCCATTGTACAGCAGGTTACCGAAGAACGTCGAAAATTCCGTCGAAATGTCGAGTCCATGCGCCAGGGACAAGGCTTTCAGGTGTGGCAGGGCAACAGGGACCACCTCGGCGCCCAGAGCTTTAAGGGTCTCCAATGCTGCTTTGCAGGCCTCGACGACCAGCGGTTCGGCATCGTTGAAGTGATCCCAGAAAACCCCGAGGCGAATGCCTTTCAGGTTCAAATCCATGAAACCTTCGAGGTGCACCGGGGGAACACCGAAAGGCTCCCCATAAAGGCGTGCGAAGATATGGCTAGAGACGCTCTGGGACATCACGGCATGTGCCAGTGCTGCATCACGTGTTGTTGCAGCGATGGGGCCTGTTTTGACCATGGTGCCGAAGAGCGTGTCGGGGCTTGAGTCCGGTACTCGGCCGTAGGTCGGAGCCAAACCGACTGCACCCTCCATGGCGGCAGGAATCCGGATTGAACCACCGCCATCCATGCCCACTGCCACAGGCACCAAGCCCATGGCCACAGCCACGGCAGAACCAGAGGAGCTGCCCCCACAGTAGTAGCTCCCATTATATGCATTCACTGGCCCTTTGAAGTGGACTGAATAACCTAGCGGAGTAACTCCAAACTCGGTCATCACAGTCGTTCCTAAGATAATGGCCCCGGCTTCCCGGAAGAGGCGAACTGTGTTGTCATCCTCCTCTGCCCGTCTGTTGTGTCGATCACCTGCTGGCCAAACGGTTCCTTCGCTAAAGGGATGACCCCGAACTGAGACCATGTCTTTCACCGCGATGGGCACCCCCTCGAAGATGCTGCGAGCTTCACCTGAAAATTGTAGATCACGCACTCAGCATCGCGGCAAAGCAATCCCCACTGAAATGAAGAGTGAGGAAGCCAGGGAAGAGCCGGAACACTCTGGAGTCATGAAACCCCAAGCCTAGCCGCCTAGCCAACCAACCCTCTTCATTTCTCTCTTTGCGCACTCACTCTTTCTTTCTGCCAGGCCTCCGCACTCACCCGGGCCCAGCCCCCCCCATCCCTTCCTTGTTGGTGGAATGAGGCTTTGGGGTCATTGGGAAGTTTGTTGCTCCCTTGGTCGGCTTGAACAGGGCTGTGGTGGGGAGTTGTTGCCTCCGCGCCGCGCGCTCTCTCTTCTTCTTCTACGCAGCCAAAGGAGAGCAGAGCACGCTCCACCCCTCCCTGCGTGCGCACGCGCCCTGGTCTTGGTCGTTCGTAAGACTCTTTCCTCTTCTTTCACACAGGGAGCCTGTCAGGCTCCCTGGCCGCATGGGCCCCCCAGTGTTTGTTGGGCACACTCTTCTTCTGCACAGCCAAAGGAAGGCAGGTCCCTGCCCTCCCCGCGCGCGCACGCGCACTGGTCTCTCGAAGTCGGTTGGTGCTACCTCTACGAGCTGAGGCCGTGGGTTTGAAGCTCGTAAATCCCCATATTATCCTATTGAACCTCCGGCCTCGTCTCCCAGGCTGCATGCTCTGTGCTCCGTCTCGCAGCTTGTTGCCGCAGAAACGGTGACTGTGCGGTATTAGTTGTCCGCCTAGTACACAGCAACACTCTCTCTCTCTCTCTCTCTCCTAGCGGCATGGTTTAGAGCAGAGGCTTTGGGGTGCTTTGGTAGGGTCCGACCTGCCGTAGGCTCAGGCACGACTTGAGGTCGACAGGTTGTCGCAGAGCCACCGTTCTCCGTACGTTCTCTAGTATCTTCTCTGGGCGGCAGGACCTCTCAATCGAAGAGTGTGGCCCTGCCCCACCCCGGCCCCGCCTTTGAGGATCCGCTGCTCGGAGTCCTGCGCCTGCTTTCGGACGTCCTCCTCAAGCACGGTGACAAAAACCCGGTACTCTGTCGGCAGCTTGCGTATGGCTTGCAGCAAACGCTCCATGGCCGAGGTCGGTGTCCAGGCACCGCTCTTGTACGCTTTGGCGTAGTCTTCAACTGTGACATACACTCCAGGCCCAGGCGGTTGGCCGTCAAAGCCCTCCTGTAACAAGGTCTTGACACTACCGGCACCCGATGCTGCCGCCTCGTGGCGCTTCCATTCTTCGGTCGTGAGGCGATGCATTGGCGTGTAGGCGACGGTGCTTTTGCCCTCGTCGACGACTTGTAAAGCCAGGTCTTGGAGCTCGTCAGCACCGTTTTGGTTGATCAGGAACCTCCGCAGCAGCGGTGCCACTGGACTGTCGGCCAGGGCCCATGCCACGATGCGGAGTTTGGCTCCGGTCGCTGCAGGAGCATCGATCTTCTCTAGGTCATACGTTGGATCGCCTAGCCGTTTTGAGCGACGAGGGGGTGCCGGGGCTGACAACTTGGAAATCAGAGGCAGGAGGACAGCAATGCTTGCTCCGCACACAGCCAGAGTGCCCAAGTTGAAGACTGCCATGGCCCGCAACGTTTAGAGCTCGGTTCAACGCTGCTGTCAGCGATTGTTGCGTAAGTCACCAGCGCACCCTTTTGAAATGGCCCTCATCTTGTGTCGTCTTTGCGCAGTTAGGCTAAGCCGCTGTGTCCAAGACGAAGGGCCGAGCGGCATCACGTGTGCCAGAACCATGCAGCAGTCGCTTTTTGCAACGGGCGAGGCGGCCTCTGCTTCGCCATCTCGCTGCAGCGCTCACGGCCTCAGCGTAAGCCACCATACGATTCACCCAATGGCCCAATCCCTGTCTACGGCCCTGGAAATTGGCGTACAGGGCGCTCGGCTCGTGAAGATGAGCGTAGGCGCGGCGGAGGTCTCCATCAGCGGACCATCGGTCACTTGGCCTTTCGAGTCCAGGACCACACCTGACGATCACGCAAACCAAGGCTGTGGAAGAAACTGCGACGGAGAAAAACCACTCGAATCTGCTAGTACTTGAGTCTGTGAGATAGGAGCCCCTGCGCAGAGGTGGCTTCACAGGGGCCGGCTCTCCGTCTAACCGAACGGTGAGACTCGGCCTGTCCCATGCGGATTAATGCAAAAAGAGAGGACGAAGCACAAAAAGGACCGCGAGGGAGCAATGCCAATCAGACGGACTACACTTCACGGAGCAAGGCCTGTCGGCAAGAGCCGTGCCGCTGCCTGTTCGAGGCAGACTTGGCCCTTTTGACACAGCTCTATGAGGATAACTATACCTTTGCGCCGCTAGCATTCCCGCAAAACGGCGAAGGATGCTTGCGGGCGGATCAGGCGTGCTACAGGCGCGTGTTCACCCCATTGCCGCAAAAGCCAGTTGAAAACTAGAAGCCGTGCTTGAAGCAAGTTCCGGGCCACCCGACCAACAAGCACTGCTTGCGACTCGGCACGAAGCCGGTGTGCGTCCTGTCTTGCTGGTGCCTGACAACGGTCATCATTTACTTCTCGGGATAACGCAAGACACTATGCATCCCTCTTCTGTGCAGAGTGCGTTCGTGCCGCTCTGCCTGGGTGATCCACTGGGAGGTCTTGTCTGCGCATGCCTGAAGCTTAAGCTCCCGCCGACTCTGACCCATATGTGGTGCGAAAGCAAATGTTGCTACGCCAACTATCATCCGATGCAAAATGGAGGTGCTGACCACTCGGCCATCCAAGCTGGTCGCAATCTTCAGGACAACATACGGCCTGCATGTGCCCACGTCTTGGCGAGTCATGGTGTGTCTGTGTGCCACTGTGTGCCTACGTATCATAGCCATCATTCGAGCCTTGCTGTCCGACGGTGGTGTAAATAACTCCGGAAGGAACGGCGAACTGGCTCCTGCAAACTAGTCTCAGCACTTCAGGACTCAACCTCTTTCATGTTTGGCTCTCAGCTCCAGCCCTGAATGTCGCACCCTCAGTCTCAGATGGTATCAGATGATCTGAGTTCCTCCGCAATGCCCACATCTACCTGTCGCATGTTGGAAATCCTATCGTGGCAAAAGTATCAGCAGCAGAGGCATGAGGCATGCTCTCCAAAGATGAAGCAAATGCCACCTGGATCCCAGCATCGCGAATGAACTTCACACCAGCACCACCAAAGTTCTCGTCGGGGTCAACGTGGCCTATCACCTGTCACGAGAAGGTGAACACGGAGGTGAAGAGCGGACTTGTCGGTTACTCCTCAGTGCTGCACACATCTCTTCACGCCCTTCGAGACCACCAGCTCGTCGCAGGGCCCGGTGCGCCTTTGCGCAGTGATGTCTCTTGTCTCTTATTCACAAGTGCACCATCTGCAAAAGACGGTCAAGACTCTGGCTTGCCCGGTCCGCGATGACAGGGTTCCAGCGTACTGTAAATAGTTGTCTCAGAGAAGTCCGTGACACCATTGGCCTTGACTTCACAACTCGGATTTCTCAGGTTCCTACATGCGTTCTACGTCCGCAGGCAGTGAAGGCCCGCCTCTGCATCCCGAAAGGCTTCCACCTCCGCATGCGGGCAGCCAGGGCCCCTGGCAAACTGAGACATGAAGATCGTCTCTCGCGAGAGACGTTTTTCGGCGTGTGCGGCACACTCCGCGGCCGCGACCGACGAAGCATGCCGGCGACACTTGTGGAAGCCCTCGCCGACCACGTTGCCATCAGCATCAACCACGATCGCTCCCACCCACGGATTCGGAGCTGTGATCTGAGCGGAGCACTTCTGCGGGTGCCAGCAGATGCCAGCAGTATCTCGCCGGACATGCCTACAACATCTCTGTTTTGAGGTCAGAGCTCGCCTTCCCTGTTCACCCAGCTCCACCCTGCGCGGAAGGGACACTCTTCGTGTCTTCGTGCTGGGCTGCTACTGCAAAGTGCCCGGCGCTCTTAGCATAATCTTCACATCCGTCTCCTCGGGAAGCAGCGAGGTCACAGCCGTTGCCATGAACAGAAGATTTGCAGACCCTGTCGCTGTCCTCCATAGTGCAGCTTTACGCCATTGCTGACACAGTCGCAGCACCTTTAAAGAGACAGAACCTAAAGCCTGGCAAATGGCGATGCTTGCAATTTGACAGGTGGTTGTCGTAGCGATCGTGATCCCATCGGTACTTATCATGAAACTGGAATTATGGAGTAGAACTTGCATCTAAACAACGATTAGATGCTTCGCGATTTTGGTAGAACGTGTAAGAACACAACAAGTGTGGTCACCGCGTCTCTGTCCGCCGAGCTGATGGCTTTGAATTTTAGATGCTCAAGCCACAGCTGCGAGTTGCACATGGGTTTCGGACTCTTCAAGCACAAACTTGCATGGCCTGCGTTCCATGACCTATGCTACTTCTGGCCCCTCCGAATTACCCTGCTTTTCGGGCTACCACAAGCGCGGTCGAATCACCATCGGTTGGCGGCCCGTCTCCTACAGCGCGTCATGCTGTCAGTCTTGGAAGTGCAGTTGGGACTGCGGCTAAGGTCGGACTTCTGGTTTCGGCCACACTTGACGGCCGCTCTCCCTGTCTCCGTTCTTTCTCTGTCTGTGTCTCTCACAGTTGGGGAGTTCGGCTTGTAGGTCGGATGCAATATTACTTCGAGAGGGGCTCTGAGATATACCTGCTACTTGGACTGTGCTGAGTCTTGATGTCATATGCTGGTTTCAGTCCTTGCACGTGTGCGTGCATTGGCCAGTCGGTGTCAAATGTTGCAGTGTCAGAGTGGCGAGTAATGTCCACGTGGCGCGGACGCGATCACCCATTGAAACAAAGAAGTGGTGGGGCAGTGGGGTTTAACCTGGCTTCGGGAAGAAGCAACGGGCGCTCACGTCCTGCCTTCGTGCTCATTTGTGAAATACCCCGACTATCACACCGGCGCTACTCCAGACAAACAACAAACGGCGAGCTCGTGTCCGGACTGAACTCAAGACGGATCATAAAATGATATCACAGGTCCTGCGAGGGCGGCGGCCTGGACAGGAAGACAAAGTTACAAAGTGACACGGCTTTCGCACGACAGCATGCTCTGACCTCCGCGATTCAATCGTGCCCGCATCTGTGCAAGTTCCTCTGTCAAATTCTGACACTAACCTGAGCCCTTTAAAGTAGTAGCTATGCAGCTATGCGTATTGCTGCGGAATCAATCATCAACTCAACCACCGTCAGCCTCTTCACCACATCGCCTGCATACATCAGGATCTGAAGAAAAAGCACGGCCATGAATGGCGCCCACCCATGCACCGAGGCAAGCAGAAGCGACTGAAGCACATCATGTTCGGACAGCTTTACACCGAGATGCCGGCTTCGTTGAGAGTTCCTCATCAAGCATTCTGTCTGCTTAGGCGTCTCTCGAAATCTCATAGTGCAGACTTATCCAGCTGGAATAATGAGCTTGTACATCGCAGAGTTCCTAGAACTGAAGCGTGGCCAGCCAACATATAATATGGCACATCGGCACAAGGCTCCACCGGCACCTACAAAGAAGCTTGTGGCCGAAGATTTTCAACTCCAATAAGACCACTAAATGCTTCTGCGCCCCGGCCAGGGTGTTTTCACAGCTGCACAACTCCTAGTGACCTAGCGTCCTAGCACCGCGGAGACATTCATGAGCACTCGCTAGACTCGCGGCCAGCCAAGCTGCTCTTCAGACTCCCAAAGCTCGTCCGATTGGGTCTTGACCGACACCGAACCTCAAGAACTGTCGTAGTCGAGCAGCATCATGTGCAACATGAACTCCTGCCTGGAATCAGCTCAGCCACCCCGAAAGAAGGCTGCCTCAGAAGCGCCAGTGCAGAAGTCGACCGCAGCCCAGCCCGACTGCCAGCAGAAACACGGCAAAACAGTGGTTTCAACGAGGCTCCGGCCAGAGGGAGTCTGCGCTCTCGAGCTTGGGTTCCATCATCCCTGCAGCGAAACAGAAAGCAGACACACAAATGATCCGAAGCCAAGGATCAGAGTTCTCAAAGGAGCCGCGGCCTGGCCTGGCTTCACTGGCCTGTGCACCGCCCAGCGTTGTAACCACGATAGCAGAGACTCTAAGCACTAACAAACACAACAACGACAAAACACCAACAACAACAACCACAACCAATGACAGACAGACAGACTCACAGACAGACAGACAGACAGACAGACAGACAGAGAGACCCAAAACATCTCAGATGTTTGGGCTTGGGGACGCGGGGTTCAGCGGTTTGGATATCTGAAAAGGCCGAAATGGCAAAACAACTCAGGGCGTGGTCCTGAAATCCGGGAACTGTACCAAACACACCAGAAATGAGTGCAGAGAGCCTCGGAGCCGGGCCCTGGATAGCTCTCTGCTTGGCGAAGCTGGGCGCTTTCGGCGCCACGACGGCCGGGGCAGCCGAGCCACTCGGACCCGGGCTGGGCAAGGGGACGGGCACCGCGCCCAGCGGGCGCGGCTGGGGCACAGGGCTGGCCTTCCGAAATTCGGGCTCAGGCGGTGCAACCGCCGTCAGTGCCGGTGGTGGAGCCGGGAGTGGTGCGCCGTACCTCGCCGAACTAACTCAAAGCACACGGCCGCCTCTGCCAGAGGCTACACTACGAGGACTCTTGACTCGCACCCTGTGTCCGTCACTCTACTCCAACCCTGGGGCTGTGGCTTGGCAGGTATGACTTTCACTCGATTCGCCCGCGTCGGACTCTGGCGGTCTTCGCCTTCACAGAAAACACAATACTGCTGGCTCCCAACCCAACAATGTCTTGCAGATCCAGCTGCTAGACGTGAGTAGCTGTAGGAGGCTGTATAGGAATGATACGAAGACGAGCGAGTGCAATCGGCAGGGGGCTGGCGGATCTGGGCGTGGAGACGAGATGAGCCTGGTCCTGCTGCGCCAGGGGCAGGTGCTGGCCTGGGAGAGAAAGCTGTTCTTACTGGCTCGTGCTGCGGGAGATGCTTGCAGCAACGCGGCATGGGCGCTTTCCTTGAGGTTGCTGGACCCCTGCTCTCCAGCTCCTCGATGCCGGGTCGTGAGCGATATGGCTTTGCAAGGGGCAACGGTAAACATCTCGCTGAATTCGGCTGCAACAGAGGAACTGAGAGTGTGAGGCCTTTGACCAAGCTGCCGATCAAACTGGCAATCTCTTGGAGCGTGGGCTGAGAGCAAACTGGCATCTCGCAGATGTGTAGGCCATGTCAATGTCTAGAGGAGCCTAATGGCCTCATCAGGTGTTCGCTCGGCTTCCTAGGCTGCTCCATGCTCCTCCTTCACCTCCATCAGTTCTAGTGGCCCCTTCCAGGCCCGGGCCGGAGGGCCTCAGCTCTGAAAGGTTCAGCAGCTCTGCTAACGTCTCCTCCTTCTACGAACCTTTGCACTCCCTAGGCAGGCCTTGCGAAGCTGGCACGGCAACAGGCTCCGGGCCTTTGCAACGCGTCAAATCCAGACAGCATTTCACTTTCAGCTGTCGAGTCTTGGACTTCGGAGCTCGTTGGCCGAGGGGTCCGCTTTCAGACCTGTGAGCTCAATCCGAGTATGATCACCAGCTGTCTCCACCCAGGCGCTTCCTGCCATTTCTGGAGGATCGGAGTAAGCCTGCGAGTCCCCAACACGAAGAGTCTAGCCATGTCTCGGTTGTCTTGCGCCTCGCCTTTGACCTCGTCTCTGGAACGGCTTGGGGAGCCAAGATCTGGCGGGCGCCGAAAGTGCCGAAGGGCACGGAGCCCACGGATCCCAGGCTCGCAAAAGGCCTCGCGAGGCGCCTCCCGGGGCCGTCGCTGCGCATACGCCTGGCCATAGGCACAAGCCCCCCCCCCCTCCCACCGTTCGCCAAGAGCACTGCTTGCGAAAGATCAACTGCGCAGCTTGGTGCCCCTGACAAGGCTCACCGAGTGCGAAACAAGGTCAGGGTACGTTGCATTGCTGTGCAGGTGACAGCACAATGCTGGTGGCTGACCTACTTCGGCTCCGAGAACATCGGGACAGATATCCGGAAATGCAAAAGCTTGCACCCGAACATGTCAGCCATGAATTCTAATCATGTCTGAGCAGCGCGTCAGCATCGACAGCGTGCCCGCTCGTTAGAGGTCTTTTGCTGTTGCGCTTAGGCGGGTCAAACGTCGTGCCTGCCGACCGCCCAGATCTTAAAGAGTTTCCGAGGCTATTACGCCAGTGACGCTCAATTTTAGAGCTCGGGGGACAAACCACAAATTGAAGTTCTGTTGCGTCAGAGCTGGGCACGGCGACCTGACTGGGCTGCTCTTATCACGACGCGTTATCCGTGACATGTCAGTATACTGTCCCCTACAATTACCCGTCATCTCGTTGCCGCCCAAATGTCCATTGCCGCTTCAAAGGAAGCTGTGAAAGAAGAGGCCGTCCACGTCAGGATCGCATCCTCCCGCTGAAACAAGACATCGAATCGACGACTGGCTGCTCCGAAGCTCGCTACTGATGCTACTGCCCCTCTTCGTTACAATTGCCACACTAGTCAAAGCCTGACTCTGCAGCAAGCTTGAACTGCGGATCGGGGTTCATGTGGTACTGTCTATAGTTAGGTGACCTTCTGTAAGGGTTTTTCCGGAGCTTACTCACTACTTGGTAGAATTTCGGGCGAAGTCTGTGATGCGTGTTTGCTTGCCCGGCGGATTTTGTTTGTTTCTTCCGTCCTTTCTGCTAATGGTCAGTCTCAACTGGGAAGAGGTTAGCAGGAGTACCCCAAACTCACACCCCTAAGCTTCAAAGTCCTTATGAAAATAAGAATAACCTTCGAGCTCAACACCCCTAACGCCCCAACCCTAAACCCTTAAACCCCGAAAGCCCAAACCCTGAACCGTGAAACTTAAACCTCCAAACCCCCAACACTTAACCCCCCAGAACCCTTGCTAAACCCTAAACCCCAAACCCCAAACCCTAAACCCTAAACCCCCAAAACCCTAAACCCTAAAGCCTAAACCCAAAACCCTAGACCCCACAAAGGCCTTCATCAGCCGTAGATTCCGGGCGCGAAGCTCCTCCTCTACTCCGATGATTTTGTGTAGGGTTTAGGGCTTAGGGGTTTAGGGCGTTACAAGGTTGTAGTTGTTTTTTGATGTGCCTTTTCTGTTGCAGAATGTAGAGTTTAGGGTTTAGAGGTTTCGGGTCTTTCGGGGTTCAGGGGTTTAGGGTGTAGGGGTGTAGGGTTTAGGAATTGGAGGTTTCGGGTCTTTCGGGGTTCAGGGCTTTGGGCTTTATAGGGATTTAGGGTTTAGGGTATAGGGGTGTAGGGTTTAGGGTTTTTGGGGTTTCGGGTCTTTCGGGGTTCAGGCTTTTGGGCTTGAGGGATTTAGGGTTTAGAGCTTGGGGTTCGGTTAAGGGTTACTGTAAGGGTTATCCGCGCAGTACGAGCCCTAATACTTATAGTTGAGGGTTTTGGGGTCAAGAATACTATAAACCCTAAACCCTAAAATATGGGCTCCTGAAAGGAACCTCTCAGTGCATTCTAGGCACTCTAATGTATATCTATGCAAGCCTGCATTGGTGTTGTTTTGTATTCCGGCCTCCATAGTGCTAGAGCTCGGCATCTGGGGTCCAGGGCCTAAGTGGGTTGAAGAGTCCGAGGTTTCGTGTCTAAGGGTTTGGAGATTGGGTTTTCCGGCTTTAAGACTTTAGGGTGTTGGTTTTAGGGCTTTGGCTTAGGCATCAAGGCAGGATGTGCCAGGACTTTTCGAAATGGTCCGTGAAAGCAAATATTCAGGTGGTGATCGTCATGAATTAATTGCAGGGTGTCTTACGGTTCAGGGTTATGGTGCCTTGTTGGTCAGGGCCAGGGTTAGGGGGTTTAGGGTTTAGGGTTGGCTCAAAGTTGTGGGTTATGGGTTTAGTCGGGTACCTTTTTTAGAATTTTAGACTTAATTAGATCAGTCGCAATGCAAAACCGTATGTACCGGTAACATACATACATATATATGTATATATCGCTTGCCAGTAAGCAATGCATGGTGAATACAGTAAGACTGCCCGTAACACTTTTTTTCTCGCGACTAAACCCACTATATAGCGGGCTCTGCTTTGTTGACTAGGCCCGTGCTTTACAGTTCCAGTAGCCTGTAAACTCTAGTTGGCAACCCAAACCCGAAACCCATAAACGCAAATCCTCAAATACCTCAACCCCTGTACGGCACACATTCCAAACAGCCATGACTGCTCAAACACGCAGCAAACCTTTCTGATGCCCCAAACCCTAAGGCCCTAAGCCTAAACCCTAAACCCTAGACCCCTAAACCCAAAACCCTAAACCCTAAACCCCGAAACCCTAAACCCTAAACCCGAAACCCCGAAACCTCTAAAGCCCTAAACCCAAACCT